CGACAAGCGAGCAAGATTACGATGTTCGACACTTGTTTCGAGAATCTGCTGATCCGCGACGTAAATGTTTAAATATCTAACTGTAAATCGACCGCATCGTGTTGCAAAAAGAGATTCGAGGTGGAGATTATCAGGGCGAGTATCTCGCAGACTTTCTCGCAATAACCGCAATTTATTTCGCCACCGCGAAAATATCCGTAGCGTTAAATTGGGATACACGGCGCAAAGTGCAGGTGACTTTTTATAACCCGGGCATCCTCATTTAACGCTGCAGTGAGAGATTATTTAATAAATCAGCGTCTCATTAAGGCACAATACGAATGCTGAGAGTGTAAAACGTGTTCGCCGTAGGTATGTACTAAAACTTATTACCGTAATGCCCCCGTCTACGTATGCATTCAACATTGCCCCGTTTCAGTACAAATGGGATTTCATCAGGCGACGGTAATAAGACCGGAGAGAGCGGCACGTCAGAAATCTTAGAAATTATTGGCGCGAGAATGGAAAAACGGCGGAGAGAGGCAGCGGTGTTTCCATGTCTCGAGGAATTTTCTTCGCAGGAAATAATAAACAACGGGACTCAACGATGCATTACGCCGGAAGAACATATCGTTCCACGGTGAGTTGAAGTTCACACAGAACATTGTTCTCGTACACATTGCCGAGTTGCGTTTCAGGAAAATGCGGAGAAACGATTTCACTGGGAAAAGACTATCTCGTGAATGACAAATTTTGAAAGATTTCTCTTGAGGACATATTCCACAGACGACGTTTGCACGGTTCGCCATCTCTTCCTCTCTCTTTCTCGATCGGATCGATTAGCGCGCGGGAGCATTAAATCCACGTGACGAATTCAATGGCTGCTCGCTTGTCATGAGATAAGCACGGCAGGAGCGCGAGTCGCGAAACGTGCGTGTAAAAACAACCTTGAGCCTCGCGGTGGCAGTCGCCACTTTAATTCTCTTCGCGCGATCTTCGCGTACGTTTCTTTGATTTCAATGATTTCGCGTCGTCGTTCTCGTCGTCGTCTCAAGTCAAAGACAAATGAATCAGCGACAATCTCGTTTTTTATCGCTCGTCGAGCCCGCACGTAAGTTTCGGCATGAGAAAGTGCGAGACCCACTTACGATCAACGCGCATCGTCCGGAACTCGCGTGAAAAATGACGCGCGCAAGACATGAGAACCGCGAGAGGAACGTTGCATGAGGAGAAACCGCGAGAAAACAGGATCACGCGGAAGAGAGAGAGAGAGAGAGAGAGAGAGAGAGAGAGAGAGAGAGAGAGAGAAAGAGAGAGAGAGAGAGAGTTGGCAGACGTGGCGGATTTTCGGCAGAATCCGCGAGGGATTTATAAACTTTCTGCGGCCGCGTGAGAATTTACTCCGTTACCTGTCCGCCAACTTCTTCTCCCCGGGCCGAGCACGCGCGCGGAAATGAATCGGCCGAGCTGAGTGGTTTCATAAATCCCGGGATGTCGCGGAGTAACGCCACCGGGACGTTGACAAATGTAAATAAGATTGAACTCTCGCAGCCGCCGCCGCGATTTAATGCGAATGCCTCGGCGAGCGAAGACAGACGCGAGCTCTGCGGATGTTGAATGCTGGACGAACGTGTTTCCTTCCCGTCGGGACAGGAGGCGACAGTTTGCGCCGAGGAAGTTGAGATCGATCGGCTGTAATCGACGAGCACCGAGGATCGAGTGACACCGCCGGTGGATCGAATAGAAATTGGAACAGTTCAAGTCTTGAGAGAGAGTCTCTCTCTCTCTCTCTCTCTCTCTCTCTCTCTCTCTCTCTGCTGTCCTCGTATGTCCGGAAACGAGATCCGCCCGATAAGAAGTTGAGACGCGCGCGCGCACAAAGGAGTAAAGAGGATTAGTAGGAGAGAGAGAGAGAGAGAGAGAGAGAGAGAGAGAGAGAGAGAGAGAGAGAGGATTCTCTCGTTATTTCTCCAGGGAAGCGTTATTGCATGAAATTGCCGCGCTCTCGCATAAAATGTATCTAATCAATGGTTATAAATAGCCGGAGCCGCGGGAATAAGTTGTCAGTGCTATTCTCGGGGGAGGGTATATCAACATTCGTATAAATCACTTTGCGTGATTCCTGTTCTTCACCGAAGCTCAAATTTGTTGGCTCGTGCAATCGATAATTCTCGAAGGACCAAGGACTTGATGATATAGGTGTGCGGTGGATAAGGCAAACACCGTGACACGGTATTTCGCCCCTTCCGCGCTGACCTCATTACCGATGCATATTGCGCCACATTCGTCGTGTCGTCCGCGAGTGTCTCTCCGACGTACGACAATCGTGCGTACGTGCATACGCACGTATACGCACGTCACATCGCCGCGATGACATCGACACCTTCCGAGCCCGACGCGACGTCACGCGGGTCCGTTTCTTTCGCCGAGTCGTCGGGAGAATCGAGATCTGCCGGAACGAGAACGAGCCGAGCGACGAGATCGCCCGGAAATTTCATAGATTCTCGCGACAAACTGCCAGGCGAGCGAGAGATATTCACCGCGAAGAGGAAAAAATAGATCGACGCGCCGGCAACAGTAGAGACGGACGGCGCGAGCCAGACAAAGTAGCGCGAGGCAAGTAGTAGAAGAAGCGAATAAAGCAGCCCCTCTTCTCGTCACCGCTCGAGGACTCCTCGAGAGAAGACGGTGTCGACGACTCTTTTCCCCCTCCTCTTCCTCTCTCTCTCTCTCTCTCTCTCTCTCTCTCTCTCTCTCCTCTCTCCAGGAACTTTTAATTTCCGGTACCTAGCGGAGGGTGGTTCGGGAAGAGAAGGTAACAAGGCGTGTGAGGAAAACGGGCGAGAAACGGCGGAAGGGCAGCCAGGGTGAGTACGATGAGTGGAGTAGGAGGAGGAGGAGGAGGAGGAGGAGGAGGAAAAGGAGGAGGAAGAAGGAAAGGGTGGTGGCGGTCGACTTATCGTTTACAATGATAGTCGTCGCGCGAGGTGCACCGGGCGATCGCAATTGAGTTCGGTTCGGCGATACTGAAAAGCTCAGCGCCGCCGGCTGCGAGCTCTCGCTGGCTCCAGCTATTGATCGGAGGCCGACCGACCTGGGTCAGAGTATAGCGGTGGACTGCATCGGTGCACCCTCAGCAGCTACGTGTGCAGCGCGGCTCGCGCGCGTGTGCGTCGAGGGGGGGGGAAGGAGAGGGAGACGGGGAAGATGTGGGTGTGTGTGGTGTGTAGATGCGGGTACGTGTACCCTCGGCGCTGCACACCACGGCGCGGGGCCGCGCCGTTGCACACACCGACGTCGTCAGGGTCGTGACCAGGAATTTTACGCCCTCCGGCGAAATGCTGAAATAGCAGTCTGCCCTTGCCTGCGCGCGGTGTTTTAATCAATCCGCCGGATTTTTTTCGGAATCCGTGCGATCGACGTGCAAAACGGCGCTCGCGGCTGAATTATTCCGGAAGCCGCAGCGCGGCGACGCGCGATTCAGCCCCGCACGACCGTCGCCGTCGACGGCTTTATCGTCGACGTATTCTCACGAACTGGGCTGAGGCGACGACGACACAGAGTCGTATATCTCGAGAGGATACTTGGTCGTGATTTTTGCGGACGTGGAAAAAAAGCAGTCGCGTCCGGAGATCGTCGCTCGCAACTCGGCGGCAATTCCCTCAATTTCCGAAACCCGTTCCGGTGTAATGCCGATTAATCGGGAATTCAGCGGATTCACCGAAAAATCCGCCGGCAAAAGCCGACGTCGATTTTCCGCCGCGGCCACCAGCAACGAGAGGTTCGCCGCGCCCGCAATCCGTCCGCTCGAGGGGCGGCTCGTCGGCTCGCAATCACGTCCCCCAGCGACGAGCCTGGACGCTGCACACCGCGAGAGTCGCACCGGGGCTGCATCCATCGTCTGTGACCGCGAACCGCCGCGAACAGCCGCCGGTGACCGCCGGATCGTACGCGCGCGCTCGCCTCGAGCTACTGTGTTATTTACCTTCCCACTTTACTCGCGGTCGCGTAAATATATACATCCGCCGGCCACGGCAGTGGCAACGGCAACGACGACGAGGAGGAGAGAGAGAGAGAGAGAGAGAGAGAGAGAGGCCGCGATAAAAACGCCGGAAAAAAGGGGGATGACGCGCGAAATGGCCCATCGGAATTCCGGTAATATCGGGTCGGCCGGTAATACCGGAATTCGCGGCCACGCGCCGATCCCGATCGCGCGCAGGGGGATGCGACTGGCTGCGAGAGAGAGAGAGAGAGAGAGAGAGAGAGAGAGAGAGAGAGAGAGAGAGAGCCAGAATGCGAGCGTATCCGGATGTAAGACGCATTGTTGGTACTTTGGCCCGGTTTCCCACCGCCGCTCTGTGGCCCAAGTACCCGCTGTACTTTGTCGCACTTCCGACCATTCGGTACGTCGATTCATTTGCTAGGACATTGCATTCCCCGAAAACTGTACGCAGCTCTACGGTAATAATCCGGATTACGGCTGGCTAATAGCGTATTAACGCTGCTTGCTAGTCGGACGCGTAATACACACGGCAAAATGAGCGTGTCAATCGACGCGGAGAGAGAAAGAGAGACAGAGAAAGAGAGAGGAGGAGCGAAAGGACATGATTACCGTATGCTCACGCGGCATTTATTATTCAAGAGACGCAGAGATGCGTTTACGATATTTCGCTCTCGGCCACGAAGCGTCGCGTTTCTACCGCTCGCGCGTCCGAATATTCCGCTCCTCTCTTTCTCCTCTCTCTCTCTCTCTCTCTCTCTCTCTCTCTCTCTCTCTCTCTTTTTTCTCTCTCGCGCGTATTTTCGTGTTTACCCAGCCGACAATCGATTCGTACAGTGTACGCGAAATTGCAGCTCGACGGCGTGACGGTATGTACATGGGACATTAACGCGAGGCGATCGAGAAATATGACATCGACGGACGGACGGGCCGTCGGCTATTTAGGTTGCGTGTCGTGTTCTCTATTGACCCGTGAATTTAATATCGCATCTAAACTAAACCGAGCGACGCTACGGCTTACCTCGTTGGTGTTCCATCGATGCCTCTGTGTTGGAAAGTGCTCGGCCCGCGGCAGGGTTTCCAGATTCTCCGGGAGCTTGATCGGATCGCCGTCTGCGTGACAAATTATTTCAATTAATGGTCCGTCCCCCTCACACGGTGAGAGGAAAAAAGAAAAGAAGGAGAAAAAAGTCGCTGGATGTCGCGGGGAGTGTGGGGAGGATATCGATTTTCAAAGTGGCGGCGATTCGTTCCCGTCCGTTTAGCCCGTTTATCGCGTTTTACTTTTACCGTTGTAACGGGAAGTCTAAAATTCCGTACCGTCTCGTCGGCCACGCGGGCCGCGTTGGTGTTTGAATCAATCGTAATAATTTCGGCGAGGATCGATAAAAAGCGAGAAGGAGGCGCGGGGTGAAGGGGAGGGGCGGGAAAGGGATCGTTATCGCCGTGGCGAGCGGCGAGTATTCGCGACTCGCGCTCTGCTCACGACACGTCGTCGCCGGTCGCCTTAATATTACGTGCATGTGTCATTAGCTCTGTTTATACACAACCGATCGAAAAGTTCCATCGATCTAAGTTATGCATATGCACGCTCGCCGTAAAATGGCACTCGTAATAGATTGCACCTTCCACGAACGCTATGAACTGCCTGCTCCCGTTAAAATGCAAAAACTCGGCGGCTCTCTTTTACCGAGAACTTCGGTCGGCTGTTTGCGCGATTGCTGTTTTCAAATAGGAACAAGCAGGTTTTCCGCGCGACGGAGCGAAACGGCGTAAATGATCGCTCCGACGAGCAACGAAACCGCATCGATTGTGGCATGAACGGCGATAAAGTTAAATTACACTGTCCGATATCTTCTTGCGAACTTCTTCTTGCAAATGGATGTGCTTACGTTCACATAAATGAGATTCGCGAAATCGTCGTTTCGGGGGAGAATTGAGAGGAAGGTTTTCGTTAAAAATAAAAAAAAATAAAAATAAAATAATTATCATTGTATCGCCGTTACACACGCGGTGTTTATAGAAAACTCGTCGCGTGATTTCGAGGCAGAGCGAATAATAATAATTCGTCAGTGTCCCAGTGAGAGATCCCGGCCGGAGCGCGCACGCATTATGTCGTTGAATTATTGGAGTCCGGGAACGGGATTTCTGCATCGGAGACATCAAGCGGCAGCTCGCTATTTGCTAGACGGAACGCTTCCGTTTTGCAGCTCGCGTTTCCTCCCGATGTTATTGATATTACGCACAGGACATCTGCGCTCTCGCGCGACTTCCTCCGCGCGAGTGATATATCGGCAATATCGTTGCATTGTGCGTCCTTAAAGCGCCGTCTTTTACGACGTAAATGCGAAACCGGCATAAATCCGTCCTTGTACTACTGACGCTCTCTCTCTTTCTCTTTCCCCACATCTCGCGCGATCTGTCACGTAAAATTGAAAAGACGCGCGGCCGGAAGTCGTAAAGTTGTCACGGAGATGACAAAGCTCGCCTGTGTATCGTGCGCAATTTTCTATACGGTTCTTAACGTGTTACCTTCGATTTATCCGGCACGAGCATCCTTGCGGAGTCTTTACAAAAGGACAAAAAGGGATGATATCGACGGGTTGGCTGCGTACTGATCGAAGTACAATGACGAAAGCGGGAGCAGACACGGCTCGCCCAGTACTTTTCCGAAATGTCAGAAGTTGCGTTACGCAAACTCAAACCGCGATCGTGCTTGGAAAAAATTCCTGTTTCTTTCCCTATTTGTGCATGTTTTACACATGTTTGTACGTATTCTGTCGTATAGTCTAAAGTAATCTTGTTACCCCTTAATTACCTGCACGAGTGCGAGCAAGCGCCGCTTGAGTGCACCTCTCCACGGTCCCGCGAGATTATCTCCGCGCGATCAAAAATCTCCGCAATAATTAACAACAAGTGCGCCCCTGTACGCCTGTCTTTCCTAGTCTGTCCGAAACGTTTCTCCCCGAGAATAACTGCCCTCTGATAGACGTGGCGAATTATAGCGAGAGTCGGAAGCCCGAGCTTTATCTTCGGTGGCGGAACGTTCCCCCGGCTAGAAATTCCTATCCGAAGTTAACGGGAATTATCCGACGGCGGATCAAATATTTATCTAACGGCGCTTAGCTTTCGGTCGACTATACCCTATGTAATATTCATCGAATTCGCGGAACTCGCCGAAACTAGGCGCCATTAACTAAACTTTCAATCATAAGTATGATATTTAAGCGCACTCGCCGCGGTCGTCTGGCCCCCTTAGCAGCGAATTAATGTGTATTCGCCTGGAACTTCTTAACATCGCGACGTTAACTGGTTAAACCTTGTTACCCCGCGAGCACAATGCAAATATTTCATCGCAATTTTCGCGTAGTCACGCTCTGCTAGAAAATTACGTAGCGACAGCGTATCGACGACAAAGAAACTCGGTAACGTCCGTCCCGCGAGATTAGCGAAAAAATTATAACGCGTTCGCGTCATGCTCAATTCGCGTCAAGGATACAAAATCAGCTAATCCAAAACCTTCGGCTACCAGCTAGATTTTATCCCTCGCTTTAAGCAAGAGTACCAATCTTATCCTTTATCTTTATCTTATCCTATTGTGGATCAAACACATAAACTTGCTCGATTCATCGCTAAGAAGCAAACGAATACACAGAAGAAGAAAACGAAGAAATAAAGATAGGCTGAGCGACTTGGAAAGTCGCCAAACTAATCTTCCGCGTTAAATCCTTTGGTACAATCCGTCATATCGCCAACAATCACCAGCAAAGAATAGAAAGAATAGAATCCGTCGTTCTAACTCAGCGCAAGAAAGCTGGAGGATATCACTCCCTCGTACGGATACATCCTCCCGATAATAAGCTGCGATGCATCGCTTCAATAAAGTTGAGGTGCCGAAAGAGTTCAACATTTTTCTCTCTCTCTCTCTCTCTCTCTCTTTCTCTCTCTTTCTACCAGGTGCATAAGCAGCAGATAAACTCACTTGGAGCGAGGGGCGTTGGGTAGGTCGCGTGGTAGACGACACGCTGTGGATTCGAATGATTGTAGCCCGCCATCTCCGTGGTGGTGTTGGCGCAAGCTCGCGCTGCCTGAATCTTACCGATCGCGGCCGATCGTCATCGTCCTTGAGCGTAGACTAGTCGGGTGCGCGGCTGAGCCCTGGCGGGCATCTCCAAGACTCTCCTTCTTCTCGGCTGGATCGCGCGCTTGGACGATGATCGTGTACCTGATGACACGACGGCTACCTGGCGTTGCTGCTCGTCGCGTCGTCGTTGCCGTTGGGTGATCGCGTCGTCGCTCGTCGAGCGGGACGAGCTGAGCAGGAGGAGGCGGCGGTGGCCCGGTTTTCGTCAGGACAGCTTGCCCGCTCCAGCCGGCTCCAGGACGCAGGGACGGCACTCGGATTGGCGTTGTCCGCGGCGTGAGGGTTGCGCTCCCGGATGACGAGGACTCCCTCTGGAACGGCAGGACATATCCTCCAGAGGAGCGTGCACGCGAGCCGTAATCGTGTCGTATTTCGGCGGAACGGAACCGGATGTCACGATCGATCGGTTATGTCACGAACGTGTTACAATGTGTTCCCCGATGGTCTCGGCTTCCGTCTTCCTGGTCTCCTCCTCCTTCCCGATTTCCTCGGCTCGCGAGAACGAGAGATCGTGCAAAGGGGATCGGCGAAGATCAAGCTTCGCTTTTCTCGTGGTCTCGCCGCACCGAACGAAGGACACACGTGGAAGTGCACGCGGAAACACGGACGGGATCGATCCCTTCGTCCCTGCTACATGTATTCTCCTTGACTCTCTCTCTCTCTCTCTCTCTCTCTTGCGCGCTCACTCTCTCGTTCTCTCTTTCTCTCGTTCTCGCTTTCTCTCTCTCTTTCTCTCTTTCTCTCTCTCTCTCTCTCTCTCTCTCTCTCTCTCTCTCTTGCTCTCTCGCTTTCACGCTTTTTTGTTAAATTCTTCTGCTAGTATAAAAAATTGGAGCTCCATTGTTTTGCTACGCAACGCCCGGAGCCATCCTTCTTGGAAAATTCCCCTTCCTTCATTCGTTTTCTTCTTCCTTTAATCTCTCTTTCCGTGGCTTGTCAATGTCACCTCGATTCCACAAGCCTTTCCCTCGTAAACGTTCCCCGATATGAATGCGTTTCCTGCGTTTCCTGCAATTACAGTTTCTCCTTCACGATCACACACTATTTCCCTCTCCTTTCGATCGTTGTCTTCTTCTTCTTCTTCTTCTTCTTCTTCGTCTTCTCTCTTCGGGAATGCCAATCTCACCCTTTGCTCTCCCTTTTTGTTGTGCGCTCCGGAGCTCTTTTTTAAGTCTTCTTATATCCTAAGTTACAACACCGAACCCGTCCCTATCGGAGGGACAAAATAATGTAAGGATCACACAGTACAGAGAGAACTTAAAATTGCGATATCCGTCCCGTATGGCAGCCGACGCGATCTTTTCACACGACCTCTCTCACTACTCTCGCCTCCCGATCTCTCTACTGATCTCTTGCGCGTTTTAAACTCCCGTCTCGTCTTCTTCCGTCGCGCCGCGCCGCGCACCCGCGTCCGACCGAGGAATAACTTGAGAAAATAGATGATCTTTCTATCGTTTGACTCTTTTGTAATTTGTTTACCGTGTACTGCTTGTGTGTGCGTGTGTGTTACACGTTCACTTGGAAAAACCGGAAATGGAGTTACCTCCTCGTCGTACGTCCCACTCTCACCCTCTCACACCCTTTCTCTCTCACCCTTTCTTTTTCTCTCTCTCTCTCTCTCTCTCTCTCTCTCTCCCTTTCACCCTTTCTCTTTCTCTCCCTCTCTCGCTCTTTCTCTCGCTCTTTCGCTCTCTCGCTCTCTCCCTCTCTCTCTCTCTCTTTAGCCGCACGCGCTCTTTCACTTCGCTTCTTCCTTCTTTCCTTTTCCCCTTTCCGAATACAGACGGTTGTCTTACGGGTGTAAGGTAGATTTAAAGAGAGTCCTTAGGAGAAATGTGTTGTTGCTGTTGTTGTTTTCGTGTTTACAGTTGTTAGTGTTATTTACAAATATGTAATGTTTTGTTTTTGTTAATAAAATAGTTCAAATTAGTCTTTGGCCCCGCGTGTCTGCTCCCGAGCGGCGGGAGCC